GACTAGAGATCCACAGAAATAAAACCTTATTGCATTTAGGGTCAGGAGAAAATAATGCTATCAATACCATTCACAAGGGAAACATCTTTTACTTGGATGCCTTTTCCAAGTCGTCTTCTAAGGAATAAAGCTATAGAATTGCAGACTTTTCATGAAAGCCTTGTCTCCTGAGCATTTTGTACCAGAAAAGGCTTGGACATAGTCCAGGGAAAAATTTCAGATACAAATCCTGTCTTCACATGGAAAGCAAACATGGTAGCAATTTGAGGCTTGTCCTGTGGAGGTCTTCACTACTTTCCCACGTGTGAAGACAAGAAGCTCTTCCGTTTGACAGGTAGCCCGAGCCCACCCTTTGCAGCCCAGAGCATGCATTGTGCTCCCGAGAAACTGGCTCTCTCTGCCTCACTCCATGCACCAGGCATGGACCAGACCCCCTGGGCTTCTGTTTCTCCTCAGTAGCTGGGCTTAGAGGCAGTGAACTGTGCTGCGCAGGTCCAAGGGATAATCAGGTATCTGCGCCCGGCCTGGGCAGCAGCTGATTCTTAGCTGCAGGAAACAAAACAGCAGTCAGTTGTCTTCACTGGGAGCTCTGAATTTTCATTCGCGGTGGAGGTTGGGGGTCCAGGAAAGGACTGGAAATCTAGGGATTGATCTATAGGGATATATAGGGATTGTGCATCTCAGGTTCCAGAAGCCCTGGGAGTGGGCTCTGTGGCATACAGGTACCTGTGGACCCTCCAGTTGCTCTGCCAGACTCCCAAAAGGGCCTGTGACTGCTCTGCAAGGACTTTGCCGAGAAAATGGCCCACTGCATTGATAGTGGTCTTGTTCTACTCATCTCTGTCTGTCAAGGGTGCAAGATGCTTCTCCCAAAAATTATGCAATGGTTAATGCTCTTTGTCTCAAAAAACCTATTACAACTTCAGAATTCCCTTCATATCAGTATTATAGCATTCAGAACACTAGCTAAGTTAATTGGCACTAGCTAAGTTAATCAATATTCCCAGCAGCAGCCATTGTGCTTGCCATTTGGTTAATAGGACAAGAGCAAATGTTTCCCTTCAAGTATTTCCAAACAGAAAAGTTTGTGTCAATCATCAAAGGAAAACATTCCTTCACTCATAGGCCACTGAGAATCATATGAATATCTTGCATCTGTTTCCAAAGCATGGCCACCAACACCCCTGGCCAAATATTTTATTTGTGTGGAACTCTCAGCAGAGTTCCTGGTATTCTCAGTGTGAACTTCATAGACATATTTGCAGAAATGTTTGCGAATATGAAGATGCTGTATTGTAAATGCATGTCGCTTTATCTCAGTTTGATCTGTTTCAGCTGATACTTGGAGGCGGTTTTGTGCTTCCCCACATGCCCTCTGGCCACTGGAGACTTCAAAACTCCCTTAGTTAGTCCCATGTTAAAGGATTAAGTACAAAAGAATGCCTTTCCCAATAGCTGGTAGTGCTTTCCAAATCAATTATTGTGAAATATTTGTTTAGTTTTTGTATGGAGCTTTGACATTTATACAGTAAGGCAGCAGAAGGCATCTGTTTTACTGCAGTTCAGTAATAATTCATTTTTACTGGAATCATTAGTGTGAGAGCAGTAAAGACCAAACATTTATATCACAATTACATGATCTATGGACAAATTGTCTTAATCCCAACCACATAGTATTTATTAAATAGCTTCATGAAGTCTCACAACAGCTATTATTTATTGATGAAAGTTAATTTGGTTGCATCACTGTGCTAATATGTTTTTATTAAATTGTATTTATTCTATGCGTTGCTGCCAAAATTATGTAGTTTTTTTAAATGAGGTCGTTCCTAGCAGCTGGCTGGCAAATGAGATAAATACAGATGTACTAACTTCAGCAGGTGCTTTGTACATAAAAATACTAGCTGAAAGCTGTGGGTTAGTGGTTGAAGGCATGAGAAAAATTTTAATGAATTAAAATTCAAGCAGAAATGAAGACTGTCCAACTCTATAAGGTTACATAAAATTACAGATGCTTTTGTTGTTGTTGTTTTTTTTCTGGTACCGGAAATCAAACTCACGACCTTGTGCTTGCCAGGCAGGTGCTGTGCCGCTGAGCTAAATCCCCAGCCCCCAGATGCTTATTAAAATAAGAGACAAAAATAATAGTATTAATTTAGATTTTCTTACCTCTTGATGAGGCCTCATGAAAAGTTATTTGAATTTTCATTCACAACCAATAATCCTATTTTGTCAGCTTAGAAATTTCAAAAGGTTTGATATTTTTACTTCCAAATTAGAATATGCTAAATAATCTCAATTATTTCATCCCCAACCAATTTTTGAATTTTATTTAACCATGTTAACATGCTTTTTTCCTACTGAATAGTGACTCTAAGAAGTTTATGTGAAGCACTTTAAAATGTCCTAATTAAAGTTTAGGAAATAACTATTAAATTTAATGATTCAAATGAAGAAAGCTTTATAATTACTATTTTTAAAAGTGAAAGATCAATTCCTGGCACCAAAAAAACAAAAACAACAAAAAAATTAAAGTGTTTTTAGCCAGGTGTGGTAGCACATGCCTGTAATCCCAGCACTCAGGAGGCTGAGGCAGGAGGATTGTTGTGAGTTCAAGACCAGCCTGGGCTACAAAGTGAGAGCAAGGCCAGCCTAACTGCACAGTGAAACCCTGTCTCAAGAAGACAAAAAAAAAGTGAAAGATTCTTTATTTAAGGGTGGTTAGAAACTTCTGCAGTTGAAGAACAAAGTCAACCCTAACAATACAGGTATCCAAACCTGACAGTGAAATGAATCAGCAGTGACATATTTTTAGGTGAAGCAGCAGTGACATATTTTTCTCAATATTTTTATTTAAGTAGTCTCTTTTGAATTTGGATTTTTGTAACATAGTTCTTCCTTATCTCAGAGAATTCTAAAATTTAAAAATTTTCACTGTAATAAGGAAAATATTTATCTTACATTAAGTTTTATCACTCTAAATATTTTTGTAGGACAATATGATTACTTCAGATTACTCACTGCATCTGCTAAGTATTATTTTCCTAATGAGAAATGATCTTTGTTTACCTTAATAATCTTCCTTTTTATAAAAGTGCATTTAAAATTGTTTCTAAGGCTGTAAATGTTTTTCTCAAATTTTAACTATTATGAGTCATTTCTACAAAAGCACAACTTTATGAAGTCACTTGTGAAAAACCTACTTTGAAATTCCACTCACCCTGTCCAATAACACACTCTGAAGATGATGTTTAGTATTTAATTTTATATTGATACAGCACACAGGTTCTCCTCCCCTTCCACTTACTCAAAATGTAGCTACATTCACATAGTATGAGAAATAGCTCTGAACATGCTTCTGTATTTAGAAATACCATTGGGCAATGAGCAAATCCCCAACCATGTCTGAATATCTTGTTATTCCTTGGTTTTGTTGTTTTGCTTGGCATCTGGAAAGTATGCTGGGTTCAAAGGACAGATATGTTCATATGTGATGGGCTCTGCCTGGAACTGTTTGCTCAGGTTCGTGATGGGTGCATATTTAGCCAGCGGCGTCTATGCTTGACATGTGCATTCACCAAGAATGGGTCTGTGGGCCGCATGTGCACAGTACCAGGATGGCGATTAAGGAGTGTGCTTAAGGAGAATGGTTTACTAATAAAAGGAGCAGAATGTACATGAACTCACTATGGAGGCAAAAGAGCTGAGATGCTCAAGGGGGACAAGGAAGTCCATGAAAAAAACAGCGGAGGTGTGTTTGTAGCGTCAGCCCTATCTGAACTTCCTTCTGACCTAAGAAGTCATCACAGGTGTCCCAAGCTTGCTAGCCATGAGCTTGTACCCCAGAGGTAGGTGTGTTGGTCATTTTTCTGTTTATATAACAGAATACCATAGACTAGGTAATGCATAAAGAATAGACGTCTATTTTCACTCATGGCTCCTGAGGCTGGGACACCAAGATGGACAGCAAGCCTCTGGTAAAGGCTTTGTGCTGCCTGATAACACAGTAGGAAACTAAAACAGCGATGAAGCTCAGGGGGACGAGCTTTATCATGACCCTTGTTCAGGAGGAGGCACCAACTCCCGCAAGGAAGGCATGGATTTCCCTCAGGAACGGACTGCCCCTGGAAGCCTCTCCTCCCAGCTCTAGCACAGGGACGGCCTAATTTCAACATGAGGTGCACAGGAATCCGGCTCTATTCAAACAGTGGTGGAATAAAAAACATTGAACTAATGAATTGGTGAAGTCAGGGGAACATTTTTTTCTTCTTGTCATAATTTCATAATTAAATTTGAAGTAATTATATTAACCCAAGCTTGACTTGTTTTAGAGTTATCTAGATTCAGAAACTTCACCCACAGTTCAGTCTCCCCAAATCATTTAATCCTTCACTCAAATTGTCAGACGTAGTAACTCAATGACATTGTGTTCAGAGGAAGTGTACTTCCTCGGGACCTATGAAGTCCAGGCTTAGATGATATTTCATCAACAGCCTTTAGGTAATATTGAATTCATGAAATTACTTTACTTTAAAGTATTGCAGTCAAACTAGAGAAAAAACCGGAAATAGATGTTCCTATGGGCAACTGCTTTGACTTTTAACACTAAGATATTTCAAAAAATGTACTATCTTAGCATGTACTTATTATGTAAGAGAAAAAGCATGGTTAATTGCATGGCTGACTTTGCATGTGCTTAAGAAACTTGATTTTAGGGATATTTGTGTAGTCATTTCAGCAATGCTATATAGCCAGCATGTATATCTTATAGTGATACATTAAAATAATGTCTTTAAAATTATTTAAGAATAAACATTGAGCATTAATGTGAAAGGATAATTGGAATGGAGGTAGTAATAACTTTGAGTTGAATTTCTTATTCCAGCTAATAATAAAAATTTAAGAGGTGACCAAAAAATCCTAAAAAGACAAACGCAAATGAATTCTAAGGGGTGATGGCACACTGAAAGAACTTAGGTTTTAATTTCTTTCTCCCATAGCTCACAGTACTACGAATGACACTGATGTCCCCATTGAAACAACTGAATGTCTTCAAGGTCAAGGAGAAGGGTACAGGGGCACCATCAATACCGTTTGGAATGGAATTCCATGCCAGCGCTGGGATTCACAGTATCCCCACCAGCATGATGTGACTCCTGAAAATTTCAAGTGCAAGTGAGTAATGGAGCCAAATTTTGTGCATTTCAGTGGGGCCCAAAGGACATGAGGCAGAATGGTGACTTACTACTGATTTTCGTGTTACAGTCTGCAAACTTCTGTGTGCTCAGACACAAACAGAGTAAAAGAAGGAGATTATCTCCTTACTGGGTGATTTTTATTGCTTTAGTCTGGGATCTGGCCCCAAATAGGCATTTAAAAGTATTCTAAGTAATTCTGATCCAGAAGGCTAGGCTTTGGAAACAGCTCTAGTTCGTTTCTGATCACAGTTTTGCTCCTGAAAATGTTAATAAACCAGTTAATGGTCATGATAACCATTCCTGTTGCAACCAGTGCCTTCTTATATTTTCATATTAGTTTGGGAGAGGGATTACATAGCTTTTTTCTCTTTAGAGAGAAATACACCTTGATTTAATCAACACTTCACAGTGGTAAGTTTTCAGCTTTAAGCATTGATAAACAGAATTATTTTTACCATCTTACATAAAGGTTTCCAATTGTTGTTGGATCTGTGTGAGTGGGGAGGGGAAACAATACTTTAGATGAATGGAGCCGAAGAACCTGGCCTCCAGGGTGAACAGTGTGCATGTTAAGCGCTTTCTCCCCTGCTCTCTCTCACCAGTTGTCTTTGCCAGACAGACACGTTTTTAAATAGCCCACCTTGTTAAGAGGCACATAAAACGAATGCTTCTGAATTCATAACACACATGTCATTCAGAGTGGCTGTTTTGAAATAGCATGTGTAAATAACATATATTGGTTTTATGTAATTGGTTTTTAATGGAGAACTTTGAGTACTGGGGCCCATTCATGGATTTAGGAGGGGTGTGTGCATGTGTCTGTGTTTTATCTAATTCAGTAATTTATTTGTTTAGATGGTAAATATGCATGTGTTAATATTTTTACATTATTTTATAATAACAGCATTATAGCTGCTAATCCGGTTTTACTTCTGTCATTTCCTTCATAGCAATTTATTTTCTACTCCTAACCCATATATTTTATTCCTCTGAAGTAAATATTAAAGCAGGGAAGGCAAAGAAAATGAGAGGATATTAGTTAAAAAGGAAAAAGGAGATAGTATGAACGCCACTCACACTTGTGTTAACATTTAATAAATGATAATATACAAATAAAAATTGTATATGTGATAGGCCCAATAAATTGTATCTGTAAGAAAAAAGAGAAAGGTTATAGAAATTAAATACATTGATTTTATAATATCTCATTGGAGTTCAAAACATGCAATTTAGATATTGGCCATAAAAGTCAAATATAAATACCAAGAAATACACAGTATATAAGCTATGTGACACTACTGTGACTCAACATTTTGCTTAGAATGTTAATTTACCATTTACTATTTTTAATCTAGCAGAACAAGGAGTGTTCGTCAGGTGTGTTAAGTCCTAGTAAATATTATTTGTCACAATTTTGAGACTCTTTACGACAATTTTAAAAACACTGTAATGGAACAGAGCTGCCTGTGATGAGTGTACATGCACCATTTAATCAAAAATGCACTTTAGTAATTATAAATAATTCATCAAGTGGAGCAAAATAATATAAGGAAATTATTTGGGCAAATCTTCACTTAATGTTTAATCTAGACTAATGAGATGTTCTAGACATAGATCAAAACGTGAGCACAAACTAAGAATTTGACAACCTTATATATTCACTTATTTTTCTTGCCTTCAACTGAAAATACAAAATAATTTCACAAAGCAATTCTTTATAATTTCAAATTTGTATAGATTCTGTGTGCAACAATGCAGATAATTACTTCTTTAAAACATACATACACAGTAGTTTTAAAAATATTTACTTCATCTATTCCAGTTAATAATTTTATAAGATGAAAGATTTAAATATGGGTTATTAAATGAACACTTCCGATATATTGGCTTTACTCATTGGAAATCATGGCCCCTGATTGTGTAAAAACATAGTTTCTATCACAGTTTCTACACTGGGAAGAGAGAGTATTACTTGTTGACTTCTTACTTGGGTACAAACTTCTTCCCGAGAACCCTTTCAGTTTCTGATGGTCCATTTGGGCATTAACAGCACTGCAGTACTTCTAAATGGACTCGTGTTGCCCTTACTGTGGTTCCCATTCTACTGAATACTAATCTAGTCAAATTATTACGTAGGGATCTGTCAAAGAAAATAAATGCTTATATTTAAAATCAAAGAGCATATTTCAGGAAAACAAGTCTTAATTTTCACAGTTTATTTGATGTGAAACTTACATCAAGATAGAAACCCACCAAATTCTGTTTAACATAGAGAATATTCACAAAGGATTTTTTCCTTATAGAGACCTCTACATTTCTAATTAAAATGGGGATAAAATAAAACGTATACATGCACTACACTGCTATCTTGCTCTATAATTAGGCTTCAATGATATAATTAGGGCTGACATTTCCACAAATATTTATAAAGAGATGAGGTAAGGCTTCTAACTCAAGAAAGAGCTACTTCATAGTTGAAAGAAATATATGCATGCAGCAAAATAACTCTACTCCACCAATACAGAATTCAACAAAGATGAAGCTGGCGTGTGCGTGGAGGTGCGCCCGGACGTCGCCGGCGTGTGCGTGGCGGTGCGCGCGTGACGTAGTTGGAATGTGCGTGGCGGTGCGCGCGGCGTAGCTGGTGTGTATACGATGCTGCGTGTGACGTAGCTGGCGTGTGCGTGGCGGTGCGCGCGGCGTAGCTGGTGTGTATGTGATGCTGCGTGTGATGTAGCTGGCGTGTGCGTGGCGGTGTGCGCAGACATGGCGGGCGTTTGCGTGACGGTGTGCAGACATGGCGGGCGTGTGTGTGGCGTGCGCGCGCAGCGTAGCTGGCGTGTATGTGGTGCTGCGTGTGACGTAGCTGGCGTGTGCGTGGCAGTGTACGCAGACATGGCGGGCGTGTGCGTGGCGGTGCGCGCGCAGTGTAGCTGTGTGTATGTGGTGCTGTGTGTGACGTAGCTTGCGCGTACGTGGTGCTGCGTGTGAGGGCAGTGTGAATGTGGGTTTGCCCCGAGACTGCCCTTTGCCGCACAGGCCCGCGTCCTCCGACTTGGACACGCCCGTGCGAGTGCACGTCGAGAGAGCACGTCGAGAGAGGAGCAGCGGGCCCGTCGGGGCGGCTTGTCCTCAGAGGCGCGGCGCCGGCGGCGCGCAGCCCGGACGGGCGGAGGGCAGC